AAGTCGGATCATATCACAACAAACGAGTGGGATGACCGTTACATGGCTTTCGACAACAGCAAGGATTACCGAGTCTGGAGGTTCGAGCAGGGGCCCGCGGATGACTGGAAAAAGTTCATGCTGGACACGTCGAAAGGGTTTCCTCGTGCCGGCATCGAACGCTTGAACGACTCGATTCGAACGTACGTGTGGGCCGTGCTGGGCGCTCAGAATCAAACGCGTTCCGGTATCATCAGTAAGGGGACTGCTTTAGACGTGCAGAAACAGTTTCTGTCCAACGTCGAGGATGCCATCTCCGCCCCAGTCGATATACCAGGCGCTATCCGACGATACCAAGACGTATTGGAATACGCCCGGTCTAAAGTCGACTACGTGTTCGACGTGGGACTGTACATGGCTCCGAGCAACATGCGACTGAGAATCAACAAAGTGGTGGGCTACAACAACAAAATCATCGTAGCCACGGCATACCAAAAGTTGGGGGTCAACCCCGATGTCAACGTCCCCCACGTAACACCACCCACGACCGGTGAAACTGGTATAGTGGCGCCACCCCCAGAGCCCAGGGTTCACCCCACACCCCCACAGCCTCAACCCCCACAATCCAATCAGCAGCACATCGACCGTAAAACAGCGCTGGTGGCCGGGGGGATCGCGGCCGGGTTGGGTCTCATTTGGTTAAAAATTCCTTAGCCGCTACGTACACCAGGCCCGCCACGGTGACGACGGCTGCCCACAGGTTTTGGCCGAGCCACGTGACAGTTTTAGCCAGCGTGCTGAGCAGCCACGAGACGATGCTACCCAGGGTGCCGGGCAGGGCCTCGGCGGCCTTACCAGCGAGTTTAGCCATGGCCTCCCCAAGGGATTTCAGGTGTTTTTTTATCCAGTCTCTGACGCCACCAGTGGGTGTACCACCACACCCGAGGCCTCCGGCAGGCGTCAGCGACATAACCAGGGTTGATATGATGAAGCCCAATGCAGTCAGAATGCTGGCGATAGTAATCCCTTGCTCTCGGAAGAGGATTCGGATCCTGTTGGCCAACATGGTGTCTTCATTTAGGAATCGATCGATGGTTTTCCGCACGCGGCTGATCTGGGATCGAAGCTGTTCCTGGTTCGAGGAAGCGGATTCCAACCGAGTCCGTCTCTCATCTTGCCAGTTGTGCAATCGTTTTTCGATGATGGTTTTCAGAGACTCGTCTTCCGTTTCGGTGAGTTTTATTTTCTCGCGAGCGATGTGCTCAATGATTTCATTCAGTTTCCCCATGTTGTTCTCCGCGTACATGTTTCAAGGCTTCGTCTAGGCCTCGCAGTTCCCGAACGGGAAATTTGAAACCCGGTAAGGGTTTGTCATGGTAAGTGGCCAATATTTTTTCGATACTGTCTTTAACATCACCTTCACCGCTGAGTTCGGCCCTGATGTTTTGCAGATCTTGGACGACCTTCGGGGGAAGCTTAGGTCGTGAGCCACCATAATCTATGAAGCCTAGTTCATCACATATCAGTTGCCCACCATAACGACTGACTAGCATAGACAAGGCAAGCGGTTTTCTCGTGCGCTTATTCACGAGATCGATCTCCGGGTGAGCTTTCAATCGCAGTGTGCCCTTCTTATCGATGGTAAACTTGGAATAGTCTAGCCCCAACAGATCGACGTAGTTTCTATCTGACTTCCACGTGTTGTAATAATCGTCGACGGTTGATTTCAAAAGTTCATTGCTAACGGTGTCGCCCATGAATGAGGTGTCATTGTCATATGCACCAGCGACAAAATCATCCATCGGGATGTCCTCATGGCCGCCTTCAGCCATTATTTATATTATTTTATATTTTATCTATATAACAATGTATGGTAGGAAAGTAGATCCTTTCCGAAGATCAAGAGAGCCTCTAGGCGTCAGAGCCGTGCGCCAGTCGGTGACCATCACCAACAATCCCAGCAAGATAGACCAGAATCAAATGCTGCTGGTTAGATTCCCAAACCTGGGTGAGAATGACCTCATCGTACCAGGCACGGTTCGACTGACGTTCAACCTCACGTTGACCTCCAGACGCGAGCTAGTGCTGAACATAGGTCGAGCCATCATCAAGAAAACCACTATCAAGATCAGCGGTAACGAGGTGCTGAGCATCGACGACAGCGACGTGTTTCACTGCTACGGGGACCTCTGGAAAAGCGAGGGAGAACGCGTCAATGACGTGTACCAAGGCATCAGCAAATCGACTCGGTTGCGCGTGGGATACGGATTCACACAAGACCAGCTAGACAAGATCTCAGAGGGTAAAAAGGCCATCGCCCAAGCAAAGGAACAGGTTATGCGTGCCGCTCGACTTCGAGTTGCTCACGGGACACGCACCGTTTTACCAGGCCGTGCTGGGTGATAGGCTTGAATACGAGCTCACGTTTAACGACTACAGCAAAGTCATGCGTACGCCGAACAGTGATGAAGCCAGTTATGCCATCGACAACATCTCTCTGGAGTTCGATATGGTTACTAACCCAGAGCTGGCCAGGCAGGTTCGAAACCAGCACTTGGGGAAGGTGGCCATCCTGTACGACCGCATACTGAGGCATAGAGCGGTCGTGCGGGATAGAGCGACACACTGTGGAATATCTACCTAAACGTGCCGGCGCGATCGATGAAAGGCATCCTGATCATCCCCATGGAGGATTACGAGCCGTTCCGAAGGGACAGCGAGAAGTTTTTCAACCACGCAATTGAAAAGGTGGAAGTGACCATCGAGGGCATGCCAACCAGCTGTTCAGCGCCTGTATGAGGGCACACCAGCAGTGGGATGAGATAACGAAACTACCGACCCGGCACCAACACGTCATCAAGGACCTGGACCTATCCTCCGTGCAGATTGGTGAATACCTGACCACCAAGTATGCGCTATGGTTGGACAGGCGATCCACGGATGACGACCAATTGCATCTACCCCGCGACCCGCACTGCGCGACATAGTATGCGGGCAGACTGGTTGTCGGAAGACCGTTTTCGTGTTGGATATGCTGGAGGGGTACAACCGGGATGTGTTCGACAATATCGTTATCATGTGCCCTACTTTGCACATGAATAGAACGTACACGGAAAGACCTTGGTTGATGACGGACCCGGACGTACACAGAGTCGACCCGGGAACACGTCTGCAGGACTGGTTGAAGGCTTATCACGGAAAATTTAAAGGGGAGTCGACGCTGTTCATACTGGACTACTGCAGCGCTAATCGAGAGATAACAAAAAAGAGAGACATGCTATCGTACCTAGCCTTCTCCGGCCGGCACGCAAAGCACAGCGTCTGGGTGCTGATGCAGAAGTTCAACTCGGTGTTGAAAGACCTAAGGGAGCAGACGCGATGGGTGGCCTTATTCCACTGCAAGGACAGGGATTCGTTCGAGGAGTGTTTGAGAGAGAACGATGTGATGAGCAAACTAGAACTGAGAACGTGTGAAGAAACAGCTCGCTGTACATAAGCGAGTACCCCCGGACGAGGCCAAAGCGTGGCTTGAAAAACAAGCCCTGTGGCAGATCTATTTACCGGCACCACGCTACGTGCCCCAAAGAAAGTTTGGCATTAACATACCCAATAACGTCCACCAGGCCGACCTCCTGTTCCTACCCCACAACAAGAGGTACAAGTATGCCCTAACCGTCGTAGACGTGGCCAGCCGCTACAAAGAAGCTGAACCCTTAACCGCGAAAGACTCGGCCCAGGTAGCCCGCGGATTCGAACGCATGTACAAACGCAGTCCACTGACGTGGCCCACAGAGCTGCAAGTCGACCCCGGGCGGGAGTTCATGGGTGCCGTGTCACAACTGCTAGCCAAACACGATACCAAGATCAGGCGAGGCGCGGTCGGAGCCCATCGCAGCCAAGCCATAGTCGAGAGATTCAATCAGACTTTGGCCGAGCGCTTATTCGGGCACCAGTATGCGAGAGAGATGGTCAACGCGGGGAAACGATCGACGAAATGGGTAGCACGGCTACCTCAGGTGGTGTCAGCTATCAACCACGAAACCACCCGTTTCACCGGCAAGAAACCAGCCGACGCTATCAAACTGAAATCAGTGGTGGCTGAGTCGGCTGCACCATCGCGTGGGAAGGAGAAACAGATACCCGATAGGGCCCTCGTGAGGTACTTCTACCAGCCGGGGGAACACGAAGGGGACACTCGGAAACGAGCCACCGATCCGATATGGTCAGTCAAAACTTACAACATAGATAAAGTGGACATCAAAGCTGACGAGCCGAACTTGTACTACTTGAGAGATGGGCCAGGGAGAGGTTTCGTAGAGAGGAATTATTAGTCATACCGTACAGCACAATGTTACCCCCCAAGCAAAATATTTAACACTTACCTTGTCTGGTAATCTTAATGGTATCCTGTCAACACGACATAGAGCTATCACATGATCAGGAAAGTGCTAGTTCGCGGTCATAGTGACACAATAGTGTCACGTGTGGCCGGGAAGTTAACTGGGGATTCAAAAGTAGTATATACAATGGCGGCGAGGTCTAAGGGCCTGACAAAAGCTTTATTTATGAAATAAAGCTTTACAGCGACCTTTCTTGGAATTGATCTCGGACTATCATTGTATATACTACTCACCCAACACAGCACATCAGACTAAACATTACAGTATACCCAACACAGCCAGCAGACTAAACACTACAGTTCACCCAACACAGCACAGCAGACTAAACACTACAGTTCACTCAACACAGCACAGCAGACTAAACACTACATTTCACCCAACACAGCACAGCAGACTAAACACTACAGTTCACTCAACACAGCACAGCAGACTAAACACTACAGTTCACTCAACACAGCACAGCAGACTAAACACTACAGTTCGCCGTACACATCACAGCAGACTAAACACTACAGTTCACCCAACACAACACAGCAGACTAAACATTACAGTGTAGTCCGCTGATCCGCAGTTCACCCGTCCGCTACATAAAATCACCGATAATAAATGCAGAATACTCACTATGACAATGAAGGAGTAGAACAGGCACCCCGTATGTACCAGCTTCCTCACGTATCCGGGTGCCGCCACCCTGGCTCTCAGTGCCCCGTACCACCCGTCCCCTGCCATGATGTCCCTGGTGTTGTCACCCCGTGTGTGCAGCTCGCCGGATTAACGTCAACACCGATTGGCCTCACCACTGGTAACTGATTTAACATGCGGATAAAACATTAGTGGCAACGGTGGATCGTCTACTGCAGGTGTTACTGAACTCACTTGTTCATACATAATAAAATATGTAGGAACAGTCTAATCATGCCTCTGCATTTTATAAATGGGGTCGTTCAAGAACACGTTACGTATAATAATGAGACCTGTGACTCTTGACTGTGCAGATTAACCTGAATATCCGTGCTGTTATCTGTACTTTAAAATTTGGCCCAGTAAGTGAGACTATTAAATATTGCCAGAAGGATGTTTAGGTTTGCTTGTTTTGTTGTTGTTGTTGTTGTTGTTGTTGGTGTTGTTGTTGGAGTTGTGGTTTTTGTGTGTTTTTGTTGATTTTGTTTCCGTTTCGTTTTTTCTCTCCTTTTTCAAAGAAAGTGACAGCTAGGTCTGCAAGAAAGGATGAAGACGGCACGGCACAGATTAATGAATCAACAACTTTGTTCATCAATTGTACACATGCTTCTCGAACACCTGGCTGTCCCTTTCCCTGCCTCCCTCGTAACAGATAGTGAACAGTGTCAATATTTTAATGATAGTTTGAAAAACAACTTTTTATTTTAGGACATAAATTCTGCAAAACCCTCACAGAGTTGGTCTGATGTTTTGATTATGATCAGTGTTTCATGGAGTATTTTATGTTTATTAGTTTTCGAGTTAGATTGCAATTCATCGGTTCGGGTTAGAATTGGACTTCATTAACCGATGCTTGTCGTAAGAGGCGACTAACGGGATCAGGTGGTCAGGCTCTCTGACTTGGTTAACACATGTCATCATGATCGATGTTCACGCTGCTGATCACTGGATTGTCTGTTCAGGGCAAGATTATTTACAGACAGCCATGTAGCTGGAATATTGCTGAGGCCGGCGTCAAACAACAAAGAAAGAAAGAAACCATTAGCGCTTGTTATCGTGGATACGCCGTGGAATATAAAATATAATTATATGAATATATCGGGTGTTCTTTAACGTCTTTTGTGCGGTATACTTACGGAATCTTGCAGAAACGGAACTTTTTCGGTAATAGTATCATACAGTGTCTCTTTATCCAATTTGTAACCTGAATTCCTATAACACTGATATAGCAGTAGGCCTTTATTTGCTTAACCCACATTCAGCCCCATTAAGAGAGATGTTTAGCTATGACCTAAAGCCGGAGACACTGGAAAAAGACAGCACTGTGTGAAGACTAACGCTTAGTCTCTGAATATATATATTTTTTAAAAGTAGCAAATAAACTCATTTTACCTGAAAAGGAGCCCCAGTCAGATGGGAAATTCAGAACCTGATGGAGGGCCTGATGACCCTCTGTCAATAAATATACCTGAGAATGTCAATAAATATACCTGTGAAAGTCAAGAAATATACCTGTGAATGTCAATAAAATTGCATAACTGTATGCTGTTTATTTTGACTATTATATAACTAAAATCGTCGGTGAACCATGAAAAGTAAATTATGAAATATATTTATCAGTTATTATATCTGAAAACGCGGCATGCGTATTGCACGATATCGAACGATACCCGCCATCACATGAATCTTCTCGAGTGTTATTCATACGCAGCTTCGAAATCAGAGGCATTTCCCAATGTTGTGTCGTGTTACCGGGCGAAAAGCCACGGCTAAAGGGAAATAGGCGACGATACATATTATTTAATTAATCCTTTTATAATAATTTTCTGATTAAGTAAATATGAAAATATAAAAGAAATAGGTGAGAGGATATTATGACATCTTACAAATGGAGGGCGGTGGGGTAGCCTAGTGGTTAAAGCGTTGGCTCGTCACGCCGAAGACCCGGGGTTCGATTCCCCACATGGGCACAATGTGTTAAGCCCATTTCTGGTGTCCCCCCGCCGTGATATTGCTGGAATATTGCTAAAAGCGGCGTAAAACTAAACTCAGTCAGTCAGTCAGTCTTACAAATGGATTAAAATAGCGGGAGTTTCCGTCTCCTTCGTGGTTTATCTGGACATTATAAGTGTGTAAACTTGTATTTTTATTAGAAATAAACTTTTTACGTTGAAGTTGTATTATTTGAATAATATGTTAAAAATACCTTTGGTATTTATCAAACAGTTGGATTAGACCTAAATTATTGTAGCAGCAATAATGTTTCACGAGCTGATATTTTCCTTGACAAACGTAGGATTCTTTCTTATTATAAGGCTATGGTTTTCCTGTTTCATATTGTTTCATTATTCTATTCAGTCGAAAGAAAGTTTACTTTACATAATACAGAGAGCTGTTTGCTGTTTATAGAAGTTAAAGTATATAAATAGTGTGGTTGGGTTGATGGAGGACATGGTGTAAGCTAGTTTCAGTTGAATTTGTTATATATATGAAATGGGAAATCATACATTTATCTAAGTTAACTTTCCTTTGGACAGCAGTTACGATTAAAAGAAAGACTTGTTTAAAGGTTTTTTTATAGTAAAGTGTAGGGCTATTAATTTTTTAAAAGGACTAGTGACATACAAAATCCACTAGCCCGGAGGACTAGTTACATTTTTAGTGAGTGTCAATCCCTGCTGTTTTAAAATAAAAATATAAACAGAAGTATGTTCTGGGTTTTCCTCCTTTTTTTTGCTTTGAAAGAAGCTATACAATGCACAATGGTTACTTGCATATACTGTGATTATATTTGAAGGTAAAAGAATATTACCAAGTGGACAGATCTCAATAACTGTTCTTTCACAATATATCGCAATAAGTATCGCAATACAGAAGAGTGTATCGCAATATATCGCAATACGGAATTTGTGGCAATACACAGCCCTACTGGACATCATCGCCCAGGAATATTTTACCGTGCATGCTAAAGGTTCAACTTTCAGATACTTACAAGGATCTCAAAATCAAATGTAGTTGGCTTCGTATTTCACATATTTCATGAACAAAATGTGTGGCTACGTGTTTGACCTGAAGCGTGTCACGTGATCGGCAAGAAAAGCAGGGGTGGTTATAAACGCGATACTGGTTTAGACTGGACTGAAAGGTCAGTTATAATATTATTTATAACCGTTGAGAACAAGTCAACACCCACACTGGTTAAAACGGAACAATAATGTCTGAGACTGTTCAGCAGGATGGCGTTTTTGTCAGCCACGTGTAAAATCACTTAGAACTATTGTAACTGTTGCAAAAAACACTGTTACCCGTGGAATAAATCAACTATCCCACCCGAGATCCGCCGACGAGCATAACCATGGAAATAATGGGAAGATTGTGCTGCGCGTGCACTTGGATGTCTGTAACGCTTGGTCAGGTGGAATGTTTTCGATGCTCAAATAATCAAGTTGTTTTGGTCTTGTCGTGTCAGTGCGCTGGTTTCATGGCCTGGAAGGTGCGGGTAGCCAAGTGGTTAAAGCATTGGTTTGTCAGGCCGAAGACCCGAGTTCGATTCCCCACCTGGGTTCAATGTTTGAAGCCCATTTCTGTGTCCCCCGCCGTGATATTGCTGGAATATTGCTAAAAGCGGCGTAAAACTAAACTCACTCACTCACTCATGGTCTGGGAGTTTATCGCCCCTTTGAGAGGTATTATGGTTATATCACAGCGTGGTTGGACACCTCGAGCTTTAGTAGCTATACACCCTCCAGCTAGATACACAAAACCATAGTTAGTGGACACCTCAAGCACCGTCCAGCTATGGCAGCTAAACACATCCAGCTATGGTGACTGGCCAACTCCAGCAATAGTAGCCTGACATATTCCAACTAGACACCCTCCAGCAATAGTAGCCTGACATACTCCAACTAGACACCCTCCAGCAATAGTAGCCTGACATATTCCAACTAGACACCCTCCAGCAATAGTAGCCTGACATACTCCACCTACAGTAGTTGGACACCCTCCAGCAATAGTAGCCTGACATACTCCACCTACAGTAGTTAGACACCCTCCAGCAATAGTAGCCTGACATACTCCACCTACAGTAGTTAGACACCCTCCAGCAATAGTAGTCTGACATACTCCACCTACAGTAGTTAGACACCCTCCAGCAATAGTAGGCTGACATACTCCACCTACAGTAGTTAGACACCCTCCAGCAATAGTAGCCTGACATACTCCACCTACAGTAGTTAGACACCCTCCAGCAATAGTAGGCCTGACATACCTCCACCCTCCACAGTAGTTAGACACCCTCTTAATAGTAGCCTGACATACTCCACCTACAGTAGTTAGACACCCTCCAGCAGCCAATAGTAGCCTGAGCACATAGTTAGACACCCTCCAGCAATAGTAGCCTGACATACTCCACCTACAGTAGTTAGACACCCTCCAGCAATAGTAGCCTGACATACTCCACCTACAGTAGTTAGACACCCTCCAGCAATAGTAGCCTGACATACTCCACCTACAGTAGTTAGACACCCTCCAGCAATAGTAACCTGACATACTCCACCTACAGTAGTTAGACACCCTCCAGCAATAGTAGCATGACATACTCCACCTACAGTAGTTAGACACCCTCCAGCAATAGTAACCTGACATACTCCACCTACAGTAGTTAGACACCCTCCAGCAATAGTAGCCTGACATACTCCACCTACAGTAGTTAGACACCCTCCAGCAATAGTAGCCTGACATACTCCACCTACAGTAGTTAGACACCCTCCAGCAATAGTAGCCTGACATACTCCACCTACAGTAGTTAGACACCCTCCAGCAATAGTGGCCTGACATACTCCACCTACAGTAGTTAGACACCCTCCAGCAATAGTAGGCCTGACATACTCCACCTACAGTAGTTAGACACCCTCCAGCAATAGTAACCTGACATACCCACCTACAGTAGTTAGACACCCTCCAGCAATAGTAGCCTGACATACTCCACCTACAGTAGTTAGACACCCTCCAGCAATAGTAGCCTGACATACTCCACCTACAGTAGTTAGACACCCTCCAGCAATAGTAGGCCTGACATACTCCACCTACAGTAGTTAGACACCCTCCAGCAATAGTAGCAATACCTACAGTAGTTAGACACCCTCCAGCACATACTCCACCTACAGTAGTTAGACACCCTCCAGCAATAGTAGGCCTGACATACTCCACCTACAGTAGTTAGACACCCTCCAGCAATAGTGGCCTGACATACTCCACCTACAGTAGTTAGACACCCTCCAGCAAT